TCGTCGAAGGTGATTTTAATCTGCCAAAAATTACATGGGGCTTGACTCCGGTACCAGGTCGATATAACAAGCTAGTTCAAACATTAGAAATTTGTGGATGGGTTCAACAGGTCCGAAAACCAACCAGGGGGAATAATACACTTGATTTAATGTTCACAATCAACATAGACTCTATCTCAGTGCATACCAGTCATGAGTTTTTTATGAGTGACCATAGAGTTGTATTGAGTATTATTCACTCTTTAAACGCCATACAATTGAATTCTAAAGCTTCAATGACGTACCAGAGCAGATATTTTGATCAACAAACATGGAAACGGACTGAAACTCTCATTCAATGTTTACCATGGGAAACTTATTTTACCACAAATAATGTTGACATCGCGCTTTCCAATCTATATCACAACCTGATATATTGTCTTGACTGCACTGCTCCAGTTATTGATCGTGTGGCTTATAATGCTAATAGGGGCCAAAATACTTTTAAAAGAAAGCTGAGGAAATTAAAATACCGCTACTATGAGCAGAATGATGTGTATGCACTTCAGAGTATACTTAAATTAATCAACAGAAATGCTTCATCTAAGCGTAAGTATTTCTTGAATATAGAAAATAAAGCTCTACGTAGTAAAAGCCCAGAATTATCAATACTTCGACTTTTTAAATCCCGTGTAAAGTCAAATTCCCTTGGCACGACCAAATTCTTCATAGTTTACGGAAGCATTGTTAACGACCCGAATACTATATGCGAACAATTCAGCAAGCACTTCTCGCAGTGCTACAAAACTGGAACTGAAAACTCCAGCATTACATTTCCAATGCTAACATCCAGACATCTGTCGAAAATTGATTTCACACCCTCCGCCATCAAGCAGGCCATAACTGCCCTGAAAAAGTCTTATGATGGTGGACCTGACGGGATACCTACATCATTTGTGAAATATGCAAGTAGAGAATTTCCACTATTTTGTTTGAAACTCTTCAATCTATCTATGGAATATGGGACCTATCCATCTGTATGGAAAACATCCCTTATCACCCCTAGATTCAAAACAGGACCACGTAGTGATATTACTAACTATAGACCAATTAATTTGACATCCGTGCTCTCAAGAACCATGGAAAAAATCATCCACAAACAGCTACTATCATTTTTACTTTCAGCTAGTCTGATCAGCCCTTCCCAACATGGGTTCATGACTAAACGCTCATGTTTCACATCGCACCTGGAGTTTTTTGATCAAATTACCCAGAGAAGAGATGTTGGTCAGTCAGTGATAATTCTTTACTTCGATTTTAGTAAGGCTTTCGACAGTGTCTCACACAAACTTCTTCTTTTAAAACTCTCTTCATTTGGCATTCAGAATCCCCTTTTATCTTGGCTCAAATCTTTTTTAGAAGAACGTAGCCAAATCGTTCGCTTTGGATCTTGCTACTCTAAACCTGTAAATGTGACCAGTGGGGTTATGCAAGGAAGTGTGGTTGGTCCATTACTCTTTCTCCTTTTTATCAATGATGTATGTTCCCTCTTTCAGTATGGCAAGCCTTTCCTTTTTGCTGATGACCTGAAAGTAATTTATTCATTCTCTTCTCTCACTAAAGAAAGCTATATTTCAGCGGTAGTCCAGGAGGAAATAAACAAGTTGTACGAATGGACTATTTCGTGGAATATGCCACTTAATGTTGACAAAAGTGGATTTATTCACATTGGTCGCTGTCTTAACTTAAATCTGACTGTACAGACACATACACTCAAACCCCTCAACACTGTTCGTGACCTGGGTTTAAGATATAGCAACAGTCTGAACTCTTCTGAACACATTATATCTCAAGTGTCCAAAGCTAGAAAGCTCATCGGATTGATAATGATAAACTTCAATAATATCGAATCGAGATTGCTATTATACAAAAAATGTATCTTACCCATTCTTGAATATGGTATTTTAGTTTACAGTAATTGCAGACATAATGATCTGATTAGAATTGAAGGTGTTCAAAGAAAGTTCACCAAAGCTGTTCTGGGGTATTCCGATAACAAAGACTATTACCAAAGATGTCAACAACTCAACTTAGAACCTCTTTTGATCAGACGTATCAAATTAAATCTTGTCTTTATCTACCGGCTCATTAACGGTATTTCCTACTCATCGGTATCCACCCCTTCATACCTTATAATATCATCCCACAATCTACGCAATAAGGAGAACATTCTAGCGATTCCAAGAACCCACACAAACTTACGTCAGAATTTTTTCCTTATTCGCTACTCAACCATGTGGAACAGACTGCCAGTGAACCTCCGTTGCAGTGAAACTACAACCCGGTTCAAAAGTCTCCTTGACGATTTTCTTTCCGAAAGTGGATTATGTCACCTATTGAATATCAATGTATTCAATAATGATTTATACAAACAAGGTCCGTCATCTATTTAATTGCTTGAAAAGCAAAATAAAAACTTTAAGTCTTTTCACGTCTATTTTTTATTATTTCTCTTTATCTTAATATATGAAGTCTGCTTATGTTCGTGTTTATCATTATTACCGTTATTAATATCATTATTAATTCCCCAACACATTAGATATTCTCTTTATCTCTTCTTATCCTTCTAAACATATTTAACTCCAGATTGTCCTTTGAAATCATTTTGACTTTCATATCATCAATCTTAATTATTATTGCACAAATATTTATACTAATATCCGGTTTCATTCTGTATACTATTACATAAATCTAAATGTATTCATCCGAGTGCTTTAAAGGATTTTTATTTTTTCAATTGCTGGTTTCCTTCCGAGGTTGATATTCATTACACAATTATTATTCTTATCATGGATGAACCTTTTCACTAGGTGTTCACTTCTTTTCTCTCTCTTCTTCCCTTCTAAATAAATCTTATTCTTAAGATTATGAAGTTTCTAATTAAGACAATAACTTGTGTTACACTTTAATTAGCTTCTCTGATTCGTTTTCTCTTCACTATGCATATATGACTCATACAGAGTGATATTTTATTATCCTTTTCACTTAATTGTGACTTTCATAGCATCACTCTAAACTATAACTGTATAAACATTAATTCTAGCGTCATATCTTACTACAATGATAAATTATTTTTTGTTACTAATTTAACGATACGCACATGGTCGTTTTTCTTCTTCTCTGTTCATAAACACGCCTATTAGACTGTTTGCTTATTTCACGTCTCCTTCATTTCTATTCCCTTATTTTCTCCATTTCCTTCTTTAAACTCAATTCAATATTCTTCTCAATTACATAGACCCGATTTATTATTATTAATATTCTACTATTATTATTCTAAATTTTTTTTAAATATTTTACTTTATTTATTAAATATGGCAAGTATAATGCTAACATTATTGAAAATTGTGTATTATTGCATTTTCTGAAGAAACCTGAAATGGTTTCTTCACAACACTTATGTACCCATAAGATGTTTGTGAATAATAATAATAATAATGTCAGGTAATATCAGGAAATCTGATATTATTACTGTTGATAACTCATTTTCTTAGTTTTTCGCCATCATTATGCTACAAGTCACAAATATTAGTGACATTTATGGATGATCGTTGTGTTGGAGTTGAATTAAAATAATATGACCTGATATCTTACATCAGTTAATACCTAACCTGGCCAGTCCGGTCGCGCTTAAGTGTGGGTTGTATAGAATAAATGCTGTATATAGAAAACATCATATAACAGCAAGAACAATATGGAGGAGAATAAAGATGAAGCACGCTTCCATGATCACGTCATGGAGTGCAACAGAATGAAACTCGTTATTTGTCACTGAAACTGACGAGGCTGAATATGCTGTCTTACACTCATCAATCCTTCGTCTAATGAAGAAACTGTTCAGCTTAACGATAGTTTAATCATGGACCAAATACATTTAATTCCTCCTACTATTCTGTAGAAAGTATTCAAACTCTGGAACCATGTTGCATGTTTGAGATTTAGTTTTTGACAGTAATTTGTCCAATGTGGTACTTTATTCGATATGACATTCTATTTGCCTGTAGTGTTTGTTCACGTTACGATGTTCTTGTATTAAATCAACATGAACTATGCTCAGCATGACATTCATTATATGATCTGAATAACTTATTATTTCTCATACATATGAATTCATTTTAATTAATAATCAAAATAGGTGTACAGTCAGTACATAAATAAGCGCATTTTCTAGTGTGGTTATCGTAATGTTTTAGGGTTAAAGTCTTCATTCGCATAAGTTTTAGTGTTCTTACTTCGCGTTGTGAGGATCGCAGTGTTTCCTCATTTTACATGTATGAGTAGTAAGTGATTACGACATAACAATTAGCAAAGATCAGACGTATCACTTAGCTAGTCCCTGATTAGAATGCCACAGATATTCCAGGTTTGATGACGCTTGAGTGTGCGACACTTTTGATCGGAGGACGTCAACCCAATCAAATCAGAAACCAGGTTTGAATGATTTCGTAGACGTTATGTCAATTTTTTCGATATATTGAGTAGAGTTTGATCGAAGCTAGACGGCAGTTGCATGTAATACTTAGAACGGTTTCCCCTCTCGTGATCTGTGTAGAATGTTGGACCGAGAGCATCCAACTAGAGTGTGTCCAGTAAAACCAGTCAAGACGTCCAAGACAGAATTACTAATTTTGCGGACTTAATTATTGTTCATTTAATAAAATCAACAGTTAAAGAAGTTCATTCAAACTTAATCATACAACACACAGTTTTTTTGACACAAACTAACTATTAAGCACCTGAATACATATATGACATTTGATGAATTCATATTACACTTCCCTAAGTGATGCCTTTCAGGTATTCTTTGCAATAGAAGTTGATATATGCGAACATTGACATCAATATAAAGTTCTTGAGCATACCAGACACCTAGTCTTAATCGTGAAAAATGTCGAGTTAACGATAACAAAAACTGGATATTGTACATCGTAAATCAGTGTTTTATTGCTTCGTACATTGTCATTGCTGCACTGTCTCTATTCAAATAAAGTAGCACGATATCGCGTTCCAAGGTTAACGTCGAGTTGCCTATCTATGTTCATTGGGATTATTACTTTCTACTATGATCGTCTTTAATATGATAAATACTCGGTCCTCTACGAGCCTTTCTTTGAGGCAAAATGCACAATAAAACACGTGTGGTTATATACAAGGGAACTATCTACAAATATAAAGTAAGTCCTTCATCATTTTGCTTTCATCCAGTCATTCAACATTTTGTGTCTTGGTATACATTGTGTAGGTTAAAATCGCAAATTCTGATGCACCTGGTTGACTAAAAAATCACCGTGCTCATGTTTAAAATAGATTCATTATACCAAGGGAAACAAACATAACTCCAAAGGATGGAACTTTCTGAATTTCATCACTCACGCTGTCGGATTCGGTTTTAACCACTGTTGGTCGTCTCAGGGTTTTGAAGTTTTAGTAAGGTTCACTGCAGTAATTCAGACATGTCCAAAGTTTTACATCCTGTTTTTTAAGAAAAAATGGACTTTAATAGCTGCCCCACAATGAAATGATGATCCAACGATGTTATGAGATTTTTACTGTCATTGGTTTTCATGCTACCTGCGAAGTTATCATTGCACAGTTTGAAAGGTCCTAGTGCGTTGAGCTAAAAAGGTTTGTATAAAATGGTGACGAAGCAAATACTACAAATCATACAGAACATTTGAATTACAGGGCATTCTGTTTATTACAGTATTTGATAATCATATCAACTAACCTACACTTTTTATACTTATTCAGACTTTTTTTAAGAATTTCGCCTCATATTCTATAAAAATGAGTCCGCATTCTATATTAACGGCTTCCGAATTTTCGTTTTAATCGAGTCACAGATGAAAAAGCTATTGTTCTTTGGGGATCACTCCGGGGTGATCTTTACCAGGGAAACAACATAAGTAAAGAATGAGTTCATGCCACAGTGATCCAACTGGACTTTTGCGATTAAACTGTCTATCTATTTAGCGAATATCCGGCGCTTTAACCGGGTTGGTGGACACGAAGTGTCTACCTAAGGGAGTTGGAAGACCCTGATTCAAACTAATGGTGCACATGGGCTGACTTCAGGATTCTAAGGGAACAAATGGCGTATGAAACAATCGTTGGTCACCGGCTACCATGAGACTGCATCTTCTTACGATGCTCCACTGTTTTATGGATCAGACCTTTAGGTCGAAGGCTCCGGGTGTGTCCCCCTAGGGAAACCACGTGGTTCGGCTTGGGCACCCGAGCAGTATCACAGTCCTCACAAAAATCAAGTGAGATTTGTGTGGCTCATATGTATCTGGTGCCTCCTGTACCAGTATTTATGTTTTCAAGTAAGTAAATAGTTAATCCAACTCGACTTCCCTGAGGTTTATTGCTAAGACGACGGTTGCGGATCACAAAAGATTTATAGAACAAACGAAATTCTTGAATGTCTCTTAGTATACAGACACGTTTGATACAGGGTATTAATACTAAAAAATCATACGAAATAATAGATAGACGGTCTCCGAAACGACAGCAGTCTTGCAATGATGATATTATTGGCAAGGTTTCAAGAAAAAAAAACAGTTATTCAATGAAACTCTAAATCTGTGCAGACTGTACCGGCTAAAATATGGATAAAAATAATAAGCTGGTGGTTCCTAATAACAACTCTAAAACTAAAATGAAGCTTTGTGTTACAAAGTTTGATTAATTAAGATACTTAGTTGGTAATTGTTATTCACAAGCCACTATATATTTATCATTATTTATTGATATACATGCTGTTTTAAGAGTAAGTAATCGCAAACTCTTCACCATCTGACTAATAAACGCTCAAGACGACCAAGTGAGCACTAAACGTATCTGTTTGAATTCCAAGTTATTTAAGCGCCTTTTGCTTATATTAGTTTATCTGATAATGGAACTTCCGTCTCGAACCATTGCGAATAACGACAAATTAGGTTAAAGCATTTTTATTTCTGCATGGTCACAGTCAGCGTGTGATCCAATGCACAGTTTCTGTCTAAACCAATTTTTCAACTAACCTAGAAACCATAGAAAGTAATTGCTATCAAAAATACATCTTCCTGCAAATTCCAGAAATTTTATCTTGAACTATAACATTATCTCTAAAGTTGGGCGCTTCATTTTATGACCGGCGAATTTGGTCTTTAATAGCTACATCGCCATATTACGATATGGACGTGATTCTCATAGACTTTATTGGTTCTGATCTGAAAGTCTGCATAGTTTTCACAAAAGTGATATATATATATATATATATATATATACATAAAGCGCCACCTAGTTTCATCTATTTTAATCCGCCAGTTCAGTTTTCATGTATCTTCTACGAAAACAAAATTTTTAATTTTAATATCCTCAGGAGTCTAAAACTAGAGAAATAGCAACTGTGTGGTGTTATTTCAACCGCTCTTCATTGTTAATGTTTATTTGGTGGTTGTATTTAAAACCACTATCTTTTTAAATAAAATAAACTTCTTACAAGTTCATGATTTAAATAAATAAAATTGTGCTCATTAGGTCAATAAAATATTAGCTACTTAAATAACTGATGGCTTTGATATCGAGCTTGTGTGAGGTTGCATTACTGAAGAGTTCCAAACTATAACAAAATAACTGTCGATTGCACTGATTTTTATGAATTTTTTTGTACAGTGTTTACTTAGAAATTTATCTATGTTTAAGTGATCAGTTAACTAGATAAATGTTTGACAGTAATACCTATGTTATAAAAAATAGGGTCTATCAAAAACCTTTACCTTCTGAACAAAATATATATGCATATATATATCATCTGAATATTTACATCAATGAATAATATAATTTCTGGAAGAGTACTCTCAAACTATTGCAAATGTGTTCAGTCTATTAATAAAATTATTTTGCTCATTAAATACCTTACGCTCAATATGACGTTTGCTAATTGTTCTTAACCGCCCTCACCTAAGTCTATTTAATTGAATCTGAATCTGAAAAAGTTACTTGTATTTGAAATGTTCTAATCATCTAATCATTGTTTAGTTTTTAAAGATACTAGTAACAAGAATTTAAAATATCAAATATAACTTTTTATAATTCTAATTTCTTTCTAGTGTTAAATTCTCACACAAAAATCTTTTTTTTTTTAAAGCAAATGCTTAATAAGTTATAATTTGTGATTTTAAAATTTTTCTAAAAAATTCAAAACTTTACACAATAAAACGATTTATTAATATCTAACAGATTTGTACATTATTTACTTATTCACACCTGTTACTCCCAATGGAGCATAGGCCGTCGACTAGCATTCTCTAATCCATACATAATCAGTTTAATTTCAGTAAAATGATAATTCCAAAGTGTATGTTGTTATGGTTTATGTATCATAAATTACTTATCTTATTTTTTATTGAACTTTAAAATTCTTGTGTTTCTTTTGATGTAGTTTTACTTAAATTCCAGATAAAACCTATTTACTAATCGAATAACTACTGGATATGGTCTAATATCTCTTTTTAAGTCATCAATTTTGTGTAAGCTCTATGTGCTTAAAGTAACTCTAAATTAAAAAAATCACCAAATCAAATGTCTGAATAAAACTAGTTTCTTATGATTAGACAAAATTTAGTTCTACACAAGTAATCAACATTAACAAAATGCTGAATCATATTTAGGATTTAAAAATAATGTTTTTATGTTGACCGTCATACTAAACAGTGAGCGTAAGTTAATATTAACTGATTGACATTTTCAGGATCATAGTGACCAATGGTTCGTATTCACATATGTGTTTCACTCCGTAAACTGGTTTATTCTCCTCGAATATTACTTATTGACAATACACTGACTACAGCTACAACTACAACATCTACTACTATTAGATACAATAATCACACGAACCGCAAACAGGTAGTCTCTACCTTCTTATCTACATGGGTTAGTTCAACAGTCACTGTTTTCATGAACTTAATGTCATATCTTAGTTTGACCACCACTTACTTCCTTGCAGAATACTCCTACACGAGTCATTATCGCGTTTCACTAACTCATTAAGTGATTCGCTATCCTTACCTAGTACTCTGAATGAGATTTGTGTGGTGCATATGTATCTGGTGCCCCGTTGTACTAATATCTATGTGTTCAAATAAATAAACAAAATATAACTCTGAATTCAGCCTCAGAATTGCTAACTCGATAATCTCAACATTTATGAACAACAATTTGAAGACATCTGTGATCGAATGCTAGTAAGCTATAAATATCCCCTGTTTTTGAAGACCACGTTTCACATTGCAAAGTAGAACGGAGCTAGCTTCTGAGCAGTATAATTGTCATTTGGTTGAGAGACGAATATCTCGCCTACGCCAGAGGTGATTCAGTTTTGTAAAAATTAGTCGAGATTTAGTCGGACACCAACCTACCTGGGCTGGTGAGACTTTCAAGACAAGTGGAGTGCTTTACACACTCAATTATTTAACTCCCTATCACAAGTTTAGCTGTTGACGTATCAGTCAGTCAGCTACAACGTAGGACCAGGCACATATGTGCATCAGTCCAGGTTGCCATACCGCATCAACACAACAAGATGAACACCAGATTCATAACAGTGGTTAGGTAAAAGGTGGTAATATATAAGAGAAAGATTGCATATAGAGATATAGTACAAGCAGAAAGAATTGGTTCGTAGAAAGAAAGATATGAAGCGATTTTAATCTCATAGTTTAAGGGAAGACGGAGTGTATACACCGACGCCATTGTGATCGATTCTGAGCCATGTCACCAAGAGTCTCCAACCATTGGTTACGAAAGTCACGCAGACCCCAACCAAGTAGTCTGCATCTCCCAACATGGCTCAGACTAGAAGTTAGTTAGCACTCAAGACCACTGTAGCTTATATTGGCTGAAGATGAACTGAGCAGTTTAGAATGTGTAATTATTCAAGTATAGGGCGTTACAATACAGACGGAATAGTGAAGTTGTCAACGCGTTCGACTACTTCACTCCCTATCCTTAGTTCAGGTGTTAACGCAGACCAGTCCTGAAGCAACAACTTGCATTTAGAGGGAGAGAAGCGCATTCCAAACATCCTGGCATTGTTGCTCAGTGCTACCAGAAGACTGCATTTTGTCAGCGTCTTCACCAAACAGGACTATGTCAATCCTGAAGCAATATCTTTCATTTAGGGGGGGGG